AGAATAATTAAAAGCTAATTAAAGGCTCCCACAACAAACTATAACAAATCACCCTGAGCCCTTATTAAGGGCTAAACTAGCGGCCCTTTCCTGCAAAACACGAACTTTTTACTTACATTAAAAAAAAACCTACTTTTCAAAGCAGAATAATTAAAGGCTTATTAAAGGCCCGTAATAAGGGCTTAGGTTAATTTGTTATAGTTTGTTGTGGGAGCCTTTAATAAGCCTTTAATTATTTTGCTGTAAAAATGAGATTTTTTTCGAATTTGAGTAAAAAGTTGGTGTTCTGCTGGGAAGGGCCCCTAGTTTGACCTTTAATAAGGGCTTAGGGTGATTTGTTAGAGTTTTTTCTGAGAGCCTTTAATTAGCCTTTAATTATTCTAGTGTAAAAATTATAATTTTTTCGAATTTGAGTAAAAAGTTGATGTTCTGCTGTGAAGGGCCGCTAGTTTAACCCTTAATAAGGGCTTAGGTTAATTTGTTATAGTTTGTTGTGGGAGCCTTTAATAAGCCTTTAATTATTCTGCTTTGAAAATTAGGTTTTTTTTGAATTTAAGTAAAAAGTTAGTGTTCTGCTGGGAAGGGCTGCTAGTTTAGCCCTTAATAAAGGCTTAGGGTGATTTGTTATAGTTTGTTGTGAGAGCCTTTAATTAGCCTTTAATTATTCTGCTGTAAAAATGAGAATTTTTTCGAATTTGAGTAAAAAGTTGGTGTTCTGCTGGAAAGGGCCCCTAGTTTGACCTTTAATAAGGGCTTAGGGTGATTTGTTACAGTTTTTTCTGAGAGCCTTTAATTAGCCTTTAATTATTCTGCAGTAAAAATTAGGATTTTTTCGAATGTAAGTAAAAAGTTAGTGTTCTGCTGGAAAGGGCCCCTAGTTTAGCCCTTTAGATGGGCTCTGGGTGATTTGTTAGAGTTTGTTCTGAGAGCCTTCAATAAGCCTTTAATTATTCTGCTTTGAAAATTAGGTTTTTTTTGAATTTAAGTAAAAAGTTAGTGTTCTGCTGGAAAGGGCCGCTAGTTTAGCCCTTAATAAGGGCTCAGGGTGATTTGTTATAGTTTGTTGTGGGAGCCTTTAATTAGCTTTTAATTATTCTGCTTTGAAATTTAGGATTTTTTCGAATTTAAGTAAAAAGATAGTGTTCTGCTGGAAAGGGCCGCTAGTTTAGCCTTTAATAAGGGCTTAGGGTGATTTGTTATAGTTTGTTCTGAGAGCTTTTAATAAGCCTTTAATTATTTAAACTTAAAAATCTGGATTTTTTAGGTTTTAAATGATTTGATAGTGTTTTGATGTGAAGTTCTCGTGCTTCAACCCTTATTAAGGGCTTAAAGTAGTTGGTTATAATTTTTTTGTGGAGCCTTTAAATAGCCTTTAAATAATCTTTACTTAAAACAGTGAATTTATTGGGTTTTATGTATTTTAGATGTGATCGTCTGCTAACTTTTTTTAGGTTTAGCAGAACATGTGTTTTCTCGAAACCTATGGGAGCATTTAAATTGGGAATAGGGCACTTAAATAGCCTTTAAAATGCCTTAAAATCTCCTTATAGTCCGGTTAGTGTCTGCTGATTTTGCTCTGCTAACTTTATTGACATTAATTTCTCTATGATATTTGTGATAGTCATTTGATCCTCTTGGTACTCTTCCTTAATGTTTTTAATCCGTTTTTTGTATATTCTTTTGATTCTCTTTTTCTAATTATTTATATTTTATGTTTGGTAAGTAATTCTTGTTACAAATTAGCTAGATTATAATTATTCCATAAAATTAATTAGCATTTATATTTCAAAGAATTTTCTTTTAGCAGAATTTTAAATTTTTGAAATATCAGTTGATAGAATTTCTTTTAACGAATTTTCATTTAACAAAATTTCTCTGTACTCAACGGATTATTTAAAATAATTTTAATTTAACAGAACTCTTATTCAATAGAAGTTATAGATTCGAATTGACCGAAATTCCAAATGACCGAACAATCAAGAAAATTATGATTGGTCAATTTTTTAATTTCCGACGAAATGTTTATGTTGTTTGTTTGTTTGTTCGGACAATGGCAATTTCGGTCAAATAAAAATTCAGACAAATGAAAATTCGATGAATTTAAAATTTCGAATAACTAAAACTTCTTTCGAATAAGATTTCTCTTTAATTTCACTGAAACAAGAATTATTTTAAAAAATTTATTGTTACCATTTACAATAACAGTTTGCACAGGTCATCTAAAAGATGAAGATTTTTCCAAATATGTCAGGATCTGCCAATAATAATAGAATAATAATAAAAATTTAATTATTACGTTAACTATAATCAATAAATAATACCACTTTTACAGTAAATATAACTATATAAAGAAGTTATTTTAATCATTTGTTTTCAGTTACATTATTCGGAAATTTAACCCCTTCTCCCTCTCTCCCTCATCGTAATGGTTTTTTCATTAATGGTTAAAATGGAGCGTGATGTTTTGCTGGACGCTGCACACACCCTAAAGTATCACATGCTTTGTGGATAACGCATTTCTTAAATACCTCTAGTATATTTATATTAGTAGAAAAAATATTTTTATCTCAAAGCTAAGTAAATATTCATAGGTTTCAAATAAATTTTTCTTTGTAGCCAATTTTAATTTAATTTTAACTTTTTAAGTAAAATTTTACTTGCTTCATATAAAATTTTCTTTGCGTCAAACAAAATGTTATTTGTGCCAAAATAAATTGCGAATTAAAATGAAAATTTAATGTGTATCAAATTTTTTTTTATAGAAACAACATTATTGTGTAAAATTAAACTTGTAAATTTAATTTTAAATAAAAATAAATCCAGTAAAACTCATGTACCGTTTGCTTGAGTTGTGTGTATACCTTATGTAGGAGAAATTTCAATTATCTCCTTTACGATTTACATGTTATTTCCATCGCAGACTACTGTTGATCCGTTAATTAATTAAATCGTATTTGCTTTTATAATAACGCGCTCATGTCTGTGTGAGAGGTTATATATAAGTTAGACTTCACGTTAGGGTTAATTGGCTCGATAATTGCAAGCGGAATTTATACATATGGGATAAAGCGATAAAGTAATCCCGTAAACATGAACTAGTATAATATACATATATATATAAGATATACTCTAAAATTATATTCACATGATGTCACGATTAAAAATTTTCATGTTAAAAATACTATGTATTTATATAGAGTAGTTGAGAATTTGACTATGTTTAATATATAAATTACTAAACAGATAAAGTGTTTTTACATCCAGAAGAATTTTTTATTCAAACAAAATATAATTTATTAAAAGTTGGTTTTCAGTTATAGGTTTATAGAAGGAAAAAATATATATTATTTATGAATAAAAGCTCAAATCCATCGTTAAATTTATACCACATATGTGAATAATTTTCTCATTCTTTATTTTTTTTATTGTTTATTCTTTCAAATCGAATTCTTTGTTAGTACGCTGAAGAGAATATTTTATTGAAGGAGGTTTAGGAACAAAGCATCGCGTTGAAAGATATATAATATGGGAGAAAACAAAGGCTTCGCAGTTCCATGGATTTGCCATTTTGACTCTTAACAATAGTAGTGCGTACTTCTCATTGCTATATATATATTTCATGGGACAAAACCATGAGAATTGCTGACTGATAGCAAATCGGTGAAGAGAGGCGCAAGGGTGCGCTTTCCGTTGATCAAAGTATAGTCAAAAGCAGAGCTTTCCAATAACGTGGAGATCTGTACTTAGTGGCTGGGAGAAGGCAGATAAGATATGCGGAGGTTTCAAGATGAAGAGGGTTTCTCAGCTTTCTACTCACTATGATAGAGTGGTTGGGGGGGGGTGTATGGTAGCTCATATTAAATTGTGTTCTTCAGCAGTGTCTTCTGTTATATTCTCAACTAAAGCTTTTTACAATACTGGTATACGTTGGTAATACACACCTTATTCACCGTACAGATATATTGCTCACATAAAGTATAATGTACTTTATTCTTTAAATTTGGGCTAATGATACTGGCTGTAAGTTTGTAAGGATCAGTGTTTAGGATATTTCATTTAAATTGTCATAATCTTGTCCTTTGTCAATAAAAACTTTTTTTTATAATATATTTTTATATTATCTCTCTATATTATAAAAAGATTTCGCCGCTGTCTTTAGTATGGGTCATTCCATGTCAATTGTACTCAACCCATGTTTTTGACAAGGTTAGATTATGTTAGTAATGGGTCATTCCATATCAAGTGTAACCAACCATTGTACTATGTCAAAAACATGGGTCGGTTACAATTGATATAGAATGACCCATATATATTTATATTAGTATTTTAGTTCTGATTTTAACCTCAAACCCACAAGCGAATTGTAATAACTTCAAATTCCCCTAACAAAGAAAAAATTTTTGAAAAATCAATAAATTATGGTTAACAATTAAAACTAAATCCACATTTTGAAAATTACCGTCAGGTAATAAGTTTAAAATCGATTGAATTTGCTTAAAATTTATTACTGTAGGGTTTTTAGGGTCGCTGAATAGGAATCTAATGTCAGATTTGCAGAATCCAAATTGACGGACGAAAAAATTTTAAATCGTATTTATCGTTTCCGAAATTTTTGTTAAAGTTATTAAGATGTATTAGGTGATACTTGAAAAGGTTATTCAAAATAAATCATTTAAAAATGTCATTAATTACAAATTGACTATTTTATATTACCAGTTACTTAAAATATTAACGCGTTAAATTCTTAAACATTGAAATATTAATACGGAAAGAATTATATAAAAAAATAATTTACATTATTAAAGGCCAATATTCAAAATAGGCATCAAGAGTCGTGAGTCTTGCTGGTTGCGTAGGTTAAATTGATGTCCCTCTAGAAAGAGAAAGCATCTGAGGACACATGTGCACGACAGCAGGGGTTCGCGCATGCGTGACTATACTTAACCAGGGGGTGAGTGAGTCAGAATGTGTCTGAGTCGCCCTTTTGCTTCCCTTGCAGTTCAGTCAGTCGACCGGCATTCATGGTGCGGGAAACACTCGTGCTCTTTGCTCACGGCATATTTGTCTTGTCTTATATTTTTTTTAAATTTACAATAAAAACTTAGTGAAACCAGCTGCCTTGTACTTCCTTCCGCATTACTCTCAATGTGTCTGTGTGTCTCGTGAAATCAAAATTTTCTTCTACTCCCTTAGGAAATATTTATCAGCTCAATATAGACGACGTTGAAATTCAAGAGAATTTAAATTTTCCAAGCCACGCTGTCTACCTTTGAAAACATTTCCTAAAAATAGACTCTCTCTCTCTCATGTGCCTAACCAAGCGTACGTAAAAATAACTCATAGAGCTAGAGAAACAGTTTGAGATACACATATAAATAGAGAATGCAACTATTGCAGGTCAACCTGAAAAAAAGCCACATGTTTTGTTACATATTTTTACAAAGATAGAGCTGCCTTATCCTTTTTTGGAAGAAACATTTTTTACTCACACTTTTTTGTCGATGAAAGTCGCCTTTTTTTTGATATCAAGAGATCTTTATATTTTTCGAGGGGACTTTTTATTGTCAGCAAAAAAAAAAAAAAATTCTAAAACTGATTGTTGAATTGAAATTTTCACAACATTGAGTTTGTTGACCTAAAATGATGTTATGAAAAATTTTGGTTAAAATCTTTCCAAGGAAATATTGTACCGCTGTCTCAGAGGAGTCTTCGATTCTTGGTATAAGGCGATTAATCTTGTCAACCTATAGCGGTTATAGGCACTTTCACAGTTGCAGATCGGATAGCGAGCGCAGCTGGGACCAGACTGTTTTCCTGAAGTTGAGGAACAAGTCGCGTGGGAGTTACACACTTAGTATTAGCAGTGGACGTGAAGAAAAAAAAAGAAGAGAGGAATCTTGTTAGAAAAAGGAAGTAAACGAAGCGGTGAAGAGGAAGAGGGATATATAGTGGAGCGGAAAAAGTGGAGGGTGGGAGTGAAAGAAGCGTTGTACGATTTATAAAGCGAACTGTAGAGGGCCAGATAGGCAGGGTGGCCGCACGAGTGCACCTTTGGGGAACGGCAGGAGGGTCCTCTCCCTCTGTACCCTCAGGACGGGGATGTCCCGAGAACGAGGGAACCTCCCCAGTCGCTCGCGCGTCAAAAACTCATCGTCTCATGGGCGCCAGCCTCACTAAACAGAGTAGGGTGAGTTCCTAGTGCTCTATCTCTTCTTATAGTTTTCCATCATGATTCTCCCCTTATGTTGGGAATTTGCGAAGTAGTCTTCTTATTCGTCAAAAATTAAACTTTGTCACCCTTTGTTCCCTGTACCGACAATGTCCCTTTCATTGTAATAATTTCATTCTACAATGTGGATAATAATTAAATAAATAATTCGATGCCTCCCGTTCATAGATAAGAATAATTTTAAAAGAAATTTTGAATAAGAATTATACGTTAACATTTGAAATTGTTAGTGAACGGGAGGCGTCTAATTATTTTAATGATGAATTATCCTAAATAACCTTCACAGCAACGGATATTTCAATATATCCAACTGTATATTCCTACAACGTCCATAGGATATCCGGATGCTGTTAGGAAACTGATGAACAACTTTGAAATAATTTGTTAAAAAATAACTGGGAAGCACCAATTCCAAATTTATATTTAGAATAGAGTACAAAAATGATTAGGAATAAAACAATTCACTTACAAAGGTGAATTTTTAATTTTAGATTGATTGGTAAAATGTTCTAAAGACAAAGAGATTTAGTAAAGAATTTTCAATATCTGAAAATTATATCAAACGTAACTGCTTCGATATCCAATAAAAACTTTTTAAAAAATTGTAAAATAACAAAAGAATTATAAATATATGAAAACATATTTTTGAGTTAATTACGTAGAATATTAAATGCCATTATGTAATACCTATTTTAATTCCCTGACGAAGAAGAGAAATTTCTATTATTATATAGATTGTCCTTTATTTATTGTAATTATTCTTTTTGCGTTATTTAAATACTGATATCACTTTAAAAAGAGTCTAGCTATCATTGTCATTTACTTTTTCAGACTATTGTGTACATTTCAACTGGGAAACTCATTAAAAACCTCAGAAATCAATTATTGCATCCCTTAGGATTCCTTTGTTCTTCGAAATCCCTTGTTTGAGAATTACCGAGCTTTTGCGAAGGAGTTTCAATTTTACTGTAAACCTATGGATTCTTTAGTCTATATCCTTGAGCAATCTACCCTCTTTTCTTCACATCTTCACAAATACTTGAAATCGATTTAGATAAAAAGGGAAGTTTAACCGAAAACTAAAATCATTGTTTTCACTTAATTAATATATTGTTGTTTCCTTATACTGATTTTTACTTCAATAAATATTTTGTATACTTTTCGCAATAAATAAAAATAAAATTTCTTTAAACGCTAAAAATTTCTATATTTTACTTCACGGTTATTTCCAGTGTAATTAGCAATTTTTTTCCCAACTCTACCGATACTGACTAGAAGCTCCGTGAAAACCTATATTACTTCAATACATCCAGTGGGCTTCCATCGAGTTCGTGTTTGCAAGGGAAAAGTCTATATAAGCGTTAAAATTTTCTTTCTAGATAAAAATTAAAAAATATTTTGTATAATTTTAAAGTTCTAGAATTAATTTTTTCAGGGATGTGAGAAAAAATTTGGTTCGATTCGGTTCTTATGTCAGTGTGCTATTCAAGTCTGACATATCAAGGACATTTCTACTTGGGCGTATATCTTATGCCAAAAGTATAATCATTAATCACGGTGCAAAAGCATGCAAAGTGCAATGAGTGAATGGTTTATTATTGAAGATGTGAGTAATACTTTAACTTGATCATACTTACAAGTACATGTACATTAAATGCGATGAATTATACGGTGATGCTATTCATTTCTGATATTAAATGGTTCAGGCGGTAATAGTGTTCAAGAACATAATTGAACAGACATTCGACGGCTATCGACTCACTCTTTCAAATTCTCTTCTCATATTTCATTAATAAGCACTTCATTATATGCACTGTTATATGTCATGTGTTATAAACATTATGGAACATTTCCCAATGAATAGGAAAAACTTTTCTAAGCTATAAGAGAATTGTGGTTAAAACTTAGAGAAACTGACAAGAAAATCAAAAATTTCAACGCCTCCCGTTCATATAATGCTTATTGAAATAAGAAAATAAATTATTATTGTCATTTGCGTGCAATATAATTTCTATATATCCTAATTTCAGTACAAGACAACGCTCATTCAAAATCTCAAAACAATATACTTAAAAGTTAGCGGATAATATGATGCTCATTCAAATGTTAGTGCAAGATAATTTTTATTCAAAATTTCTTTTCAAATAATTCTAATCCAACCGAATTCTTAATTAGAGTTTACTGAGGAACAAGAATATTTCTTTATGTTCTCTTTGCAAAATTAAAATTATTTCAATTCTTTATAATTAAAAAGCAGTATTCAAATATCATCTCAATTACCATTCCTCATTATAGTTTCTCTTTCAAAAATTATGAAAATCTTTGCATCCCATTGCGAGTAATGGATATTTTCCACAATGCTGCAAAAAACTTTTATTTTGTTAATAACTTTTGAAAATATACGTCTCTCTAAAATAAATCAGATCGGTTTTAATTTGAAAAAAAATGTAAATCTTTTTTATAACTGTTTAATACCCTGGAATAGTAGGTGTTGTAATGACAAAATTCTCTCAACTCATACATATGCTAACTCGAAGCATAAAACCGAAACTAGCCTGCGTTCTTTAACACATTCGCCCAACCAAAATCAATATCGTTGACTCACGCAGCTTACGCGTGTCGGTCCCCCCCGCAATGTTTTATGCAATCGCATATATGCAACAATGTCATCGAGCCATTTGGTCGTGAGATTTTTAATCGTTTGCGGTTGTTTTAATTGCTTATATACAATACAGAATAAAAAAAATTGTTATTGCTGCATACAGAAAATTCTTTTACCTAAATGTTTTGATATTCTTTAAGAAATTTTAATTTAAATATAGAAATGTTGATTAAAATGTCAATATAGCAAAAAAAAGGTTTATGAGAATATATAACAAATGTCTATAATATTTAAATATGCTTTTGAAAAAAAAACTGAATTATGATAACGTATATGTAGTAACAATGTTATATAATAAAATAATTGAGACACATAATTCTCAGCACGTCGTTATCTTGAGACTGATCAGTGAAAAATGTCCTCAGAGACCTCACGCTATGCCTGTTAGATTTTGATCGCCACATATCACTCGCCCGATAAGGAGATATTCATGCTCAAGCCTATGGTGGTTAACCAAGCACTCAGGCGAACCAAAGTTACGGCGCGACACTGTACGGCGGTGTCCATGTCGCGGTCAAAGGAATCGCGTAACTCGAACATAAATTTTTTCTCTAAGCCACTCTGCTATATGGCTTGCATTACGTGTCATTTAGAATATGTACATATATACTTCATATCTTAAGTGGCTTACAATTTGTAACACCTAGCTATCTGCATTAATAAGCACATTGATCTTTTACTAACAAATCGATTAAGTATTTCCATTTTAGTATTTGTAATAAAAAAGAGGTGCACCCGCGGAGCGAGTTCAATTTTTTCAACACAATTTATATTTACTATTCTAATGAACAATAAGTAAATGAATGAATTATAAAAACCTTCCAACGGAGGTTTTGCTAACCAGTAACTTATGTTACCTTATAACTACTATGTAGTCAAGTCTTACTTATCAGAAAGGTATTTTCAAATTAAATTTCAAGAAGAAGAGACATCTGTATAATCCGAACTGATGTCTCTCAAGATAGTGTACTCGGACTAACTGTTTTTCTCCTCTGTATTGCTGACCTCCCAACATCGAATGATGTTAAAAGTACAGCGTTTGCAGATGCAAAGCACAATTTTTCTTAATAATTTCTTATAATTAGTTCTTAATAATTTGTTTAACTATTTGTTTTCTTTATCCCTTTCTCCCCCAATTCCCGTGATCATCCAAGCAACCAGGGGGTCAATTACGTAACTTTTTCCGGATCCCACATTTCGGATTCCCAATTTCATATTCCAGATTCCACTTTTCACATTCCGCATTCCATATCCCGGTTTCAACTTTCCATATTCCACATTCGGTATCCCACTTTTCACATTCCGGATTCCACTTTCAAAATTCCGTATTCCGGATCCTATATTCCACATTCCAAATCCCATATTCCGGATTCCAATTTACACATTTCAGATTCCACTTTCAGAATGTGGGATGTGGAATCCGGAATTTTGGATGTGGAATATGGGATCCGAAATGTAGAATCCGGAATGATGGATCCAGAACGTGGAATCCAGAATGTGGGATCCGGAATTTGGAATAATGAATATGGCAATGTGAAAACCGGAATATGGAATCCGAAATGTGGAATACGGAATGTGAAAAGTGAAATGCAAATTAGATTGAAACTCCGTTTACACTGGATGTTGGAAAAAAATCTCAACTCTCTTTTGGAACTAAACATTTATTGTACAAATATATATTGAAACCAATTTGGACATATGGAATTCAACTATGGGGAATTGCTAGTAACTTTAATATTGATATTATTCAACGGTTTCAATCTAAAACATTAAGGATTATTGTGCAAGCTTCGTGATATGTTAAATTATTTAACCTATATCCTTCAACCAAAGTAAAAGAGTCTCTGGTGACATTCCGCAGACTTTTAGCGGACTGCCGTCTGTAGAAATTCTATTGGTTCAAAAGAAATATGAAGATTTTTATATTCGTTTTGAACCACCAGACATTATGCTGATTGCTATGGGAGTTAAATTTCATGATTTTCACTCGAAAATTTAAAAATTTAATATTTTCATTTAAGATTTTAATTGATAAGTTCGTCCCTGATCACTTAATACTGATGTATGCGTCAATATTTCGGAAAATTTTCTCCCTGACATAAAACATATAACTAACATTTTATTCGTCTGAAGATTTTCTGCAGACAGCAGCTCTCTGAAAGTCTGCAGATTTTTTGTAAGATCTGTTTTACTTCAGAACATTTGTATATATATGTATATATGTATGTATGTAATTTAATTTAAAAATTAACAACTATTTTTGGGTAAAAAGGGTACTCCACTATCTCACTATAAA